AGTAGGTATTCTTATCTAATTCCCAATTTCCATTCTTTCTCCACTAAATATGGTGCTTGATATAGGGTTTGTTTGTTTGTTTGTTTTGTGGCTAGCCATTATCTACTTTGATAACATCTTTTGTTTTATCATGCATTAATACTGATTTTTATAGAGCAGACGTTTGCCATCTTGGATATTTTTCTCATTTAATTTGTCAATGTGGTATGTCTGTCCTGTACTTAATTTCTTCCTCAGATCCATTATTTATACTCTCTCCTTGCTCTGCTCTCTAGTGTTCAGGAGATAACTCCTGAAGGGTCAAATTCCTAGGTTCTCCAATATTTGGCTATTCTTATTGTTCAGGCAACAAGGACACCAACAGATTATTGCCCAAGAGGGCAGGAATAGCCATGATTTTTCTCCTTCTGCCTCTGCATCAGGTGGCTTCTCCTTCAATGGCTATTTCTTCTCCATGGCTCTAGCTCCCATCATATTGGTTAACTGTGGTTTTAGATTCTGCTGACTCAAATTCCCAATCTCTAGTAATACTACCCACTTCTTCTCTTTGTCCCTGTACACTAGAGATTAGAGTGACTTCCTCAAGTTGCTAAATATTGGTTTGCCTGACTCTACTTGGTTTGGTTCTCCATCATATAAATAATTATTTGCATTAAGTTCTGTCTGAGTTCTAGAATTAGAGTAATTTTTGTTTTCCTCAATAATCTCTGACAGTTGCACTTATCTAGTTATATTATTTGATTTTCTAGTTGTGAATCCCCCTTTTCATTCCTAGGAAAAACTCAACTCAGTCACAAGCAATCAAATGAGTTCAAGTCCCTTATATCACATATAACCAAAACGAAAAAAGCAAAAACACCCCTGGGACTCTGATACTTCCTCTAAATCATTCTGTTTCTCTCCCCTTCTTCACATCCTTATCAAAAATAATTTTCTGCACTTACTAATATTTGTTTGTGTCTGTGTGTATTCAAAAAATTCTAAGAAGATAAGGAATATAAGAACATATTCATTCAGCTTATAAAAAATTCCAGCACTACACATAAAACTCTATAGAATTATTTGTGGGAAACAGCCCAAGGGTACTTAAAAGGATATTTATAGTCTTAAGTAGATTTATTAAGAAAATAGCACAGCCACTATGGAAAACAGTATGGAGATTACTGGAAAAATTCAAAATAGAACTACCATATGGTCCAGCAATTCCACTTCGGGGTATATATTGTAAGAAAACACAAAAATAACTCAAAAAATATAGATGCCCTATGTTCACTGCAGCATCATTTACAATAGGCAACATACAGAAACAACCTAAGTGTCCTTTAGTGGATGAAGGAACAAAGACGTGATATACACATACACATACCCACACACAAACATGTATATACACATTCACAGTAGAATATTATTCAGCCATAAGAATGAATAAAATCTTGCCATTTGCAACAACATAGATGGACCTTGAGGACATTACACTAAGTGAAATAAGTCAGAGAAAGACAAATAGTATATGGTCTCATTTATATGTGGAATCTAAAAAAAAAAAAAAAAAAGAGTTCATAAATACAGAGAACTGACTAGTGGTTGCCAGAAGCAGGGGTGGAGGGTGAGTGAAATGGGCAAAGGTCAAAAGGTACAAATCTCTAGTTATAAAATAAGTAAGTCTTGAGGATGTAATGTACACCATGGTGACTGTAGTTAATAATACTGTACTGTATATTTGAAAGTTGCTAAGCGGATAGGTCTTTTTTATTCAGATATTTTTAAACTTTATTTATTTTGATAGAGTGAGAGTAGAGAGAGAATCCTAAGCAGGCTTCATGCCATCAGCATTGAGCCTGATGTAGGGCTCAATCTCACCAGCATCAGATCATGACCTGAGCCCAAATCAAGAGTTGGACCTTAACCAACTGAGCCACCTAGGTGCCCCCTAAGAGGATAGATCTTAAGAGTTCTCATCACAAGAAAAAAAAAGATTGTAACTATGTGTAGTGATGGATGTTAATTAGACTTACTGTGGTGATCATTTCACAATATATACAACTATCAAACCATTATGTTGTACACCTAAAACTAATATAATGTTGTATATTAATTATATCTCAATAAAAAATAAAGTCCATTAAAAAGAAAAAAGAAGTATGGAGACCATAAGAACAAGAAATGGGAAAAAAGTGAAAAATAATTAAAATAATATCTAGAAATAAAAATACAGTCATTGAAATTAAAATCCCAGTAGACAAAAAATGGAAATATTTATAACATGCAAAAATTTCAAGAAACTAGAGAAATACCAAAGAAATAGAATGTAGAAAATAATAAAGTGCAGAAATGATGAATTAGAAGACAATAGAGCTAACTAACAAAACCTGTTCTTTGAAAAGACTATATAACTGACAGTTTTATAAGTATCATCACTTAACAAAAAAATAGAAGTAAGTGATATTAGTTAAATAATATTGTACAAAATATGGGTGCAAAAGGAATTTAAATATTTTAAGAGAACACTATAAATATCATTACCAAATGGTGTGAACAAGGACACATTTTTGCATTAAAATATATTTCATCTAATAAACTCAGAGAAAATGATAGAAACACAAAATTAACATTGTGTAACCCTTAATTAATTAATGGATAAATATGGTAATCTTAAAAGATTGCAAATGTCAATGCAAATAGTGACAGACATTAGGTTCCTTGCAATAAAAATTGACAATGTCACCATGAATGTCTTTTCAAACAAAAAAAAAAAGGCAGTAAAAAGTTACACTTAATCTGGTGAAACTTCTACTGATTTAAAGAAATACAGAGGGAGAAGGATACCAGTGTTGTGGTTAGCAAAAATCCATGTCATATGAAACTGGACAAACACGAGGTTTTTTTTTTTCAACAAAAAATGGCAAGGAAAATAGGTAATGTACATATGTGTGGAGGGGTGTCAGATCTATAAAGTAATGGGCATAAAAAGCAAGGACATTGAACAGACTTTATTTGACCCAAATTAAATAAAAACATTAAAAGAATGTCAGCCAGTTAAATTGGAAAAATAACTGGGTATTTAACTACATTAATCTTTTAAGGTAGGATATGTGTAATTGAACATTTGTTTCACAAAGGAAACTTATGTTTTAGAAATAGATACTTAAATATTTAAAGATGAAATGGCATGATATCTAGGACTTATTTCTTATTATTTCAGTGGCAGAGATGGGGGTAGATATGGGTATAAATGTAAACAGGTAGGCCATGTGTTGATGGTTGTTAATTCTGATGTCAGGTGTATCAGTTTTATTATGCTATTCTCTGTCCTGCGGTGTATGGATGAAAATGTCTACAATAAATAGAATATATATGCAGCCACTAAATTTGAAACCCCAAATGATAATAGAATATTATTCATAAAAAATATTAATTACTCAAGAGGTTCAAACAAATAGAAAACTGTTACTGAGAAATACAAAGGAAACCATACTCAAAGCTTCAGTCACCTTCAAATGTTTCAGGACAAGGGCAGTCAGAGACCAGTTTTACCAAATAAGCAAAAAATTAATGGCCATCTCATCTCAAGCACATCCAACGCATCCCAAAATGGGGAATTTTCCAACTTATTTTCCTAGTCTAGCTCTCTTCGATAAGAAAACCAGCTGAGGATACTGAAAACAGAACACTTGAGCCAAGCTCACTCACCTAGAAGCAAAGATCCTAAATAAACTCATAGAAGTTTAAATATAGCAGTGAATGAAAAGAAAAAATAAAGAAGCTGACTCCAAGAAATGTAATGATGCTATAACATTTGAAAAAACTGCCTAAAATATTACACTAACAGATAAGATTTAAAAAGGCATTTGATCATGTACTGAAGATCAGAAAAAACTTATGAAAAAAATTCAACGTGAATGCATGATAATACCATTTAGCAAACTAACATTAGAAGAGAATTGCCATTTCCTCAAAGCTTTAGGAAACAAACTTAAATGTGAAATGTCTGCAGCATTACCGTCAATGTACAAACAGCACATAGCAGTATGCTACCAACTCTAACTGTTCAAAACTGGATCAGAATGCATAACCCGAGGATAAGCATACACAAATAAATACTGGGAATACTAAAAAGGAATAGAAATTATTTGCTGTAAATATGAGCATCATTTCGAAAATCCAAAGCAAAAGGCTATAGATTATTTAAGTAAATGCATGACTACAAAAAACTGGTGTGTAGATATCTACAGTAAAATCGGGAGCCTTGCCATATGAATCAATAATTGTTAGAACATGTATATATGTATTAAAAACGAGAATCAAAATTAAAATGAATTTCACTACACTGTTCAGTGTTAGATAAGATCAAAATACCCGGGTCTCACAAAATTATATAGATCTGCCTCTTGCCTATAGGAAGTAGATCTTTTCGAACAGAAGTTCCCAAAAATCTGTTTGACTAGTGAAGAGATCCCATCGTCACTATGCATTTTCTCTGACACCTCAGAACCTGTTCTGGCCCTCCCTACCTGTGCTGCAGCTTCTCCGTCTCACACCGCGCCTGGGACTCAGACTGCCATCTGCACGACAGAGACTGCCATCTGCAAGGGTGTTAAGTTGAAAAACTGTCCAGAGTTTACGGGAGTGGGAAAGGGGGGGAGGGGGAGAGGCTGGGGAGGGGAGGGGTGGCGGAGGGGAAGGGTGTGGGGAAGGGTGTGGGGGAGGGGGAGGGTGGGGGAAGAGAAAGGTGAGGGACGAGGTCGGGGGAAGAATGGGGTGGTGAAGAGGGGGTTATTTCCCACGGAGGCTTTAGTCAATGCACCAGAAGCCAAAATGAGGACCTACTTTGATAAGACTGAGTACTACTCATGCTATAACTGAGGGGGCACCACAGAGTCAACTCTTAATCGCCCAACTTCTGCAGTCCCCCCTTGTGAGGCCCCAAGCAGTCAGGAGGAGCCGGATGCACATACTGACTTCCGTTTTTGGGGTCCATCGGGGGAGAGCGCCTGTTGTGAGGGGGTCGCGTCGTCGGATTAGCGGATAAGCAGAGGGAGGAATCCAAACTCAACCACGGTAAGATAAGAATATTAAGTAAGGTTTGAGGGGACGCCCCCCCTCCTGCCACCGGCCCTACAGAGTTAAGACTCCACAGTCAGTCCTGCCTTTGCAGTTAGCCCAAGATGGTTCCATGCAGGGATTACCCGATGTACGGCTCGGTGAATTCTCGTTCGGAGAACTCAGAGAAATAATAGCACTGGACCAGGGTGTTAGTGTCAGAGGAGTAAGCGGAGAATCTGGAGTGAACTCAGTAGAACTTCCCCTCCCCCATAACAGAGGCATCCCCGCTGAGCCGTGCCCCTGCTGTCAGCCTTAGGAGACCCCAAGTGGTGAGGATATTTGACTCCCGTATGTGCGCCTCAGGCCACCAGAGGATGGAGTCCCAGGCTCTGTCTGGAGTTGAAGAAGAATGCCCGTATTTATGTTCTAAGAGAAAGCGGAGCTCTAAAGAGCCTCACCGCCGCTATGTGCCCTTGGAGGCTCCTGGTGGCCGTCATAAGGCTCGAGTGTCCCCTCGCTTCACCTTTTGGTTAGCGGGAAGAGGTGTGCATAAGAGCGTTCGTCTAAGGTTATTCGATTCAGATTAGCAGAGGGAGTCCTAGAGGTGATTTTGAGTGAAGTTCAGAACCTTGAACAAAGACTGAGAGGAATTTCTTCCTCAAGACAAAAGGGGTCCCAAAGAATACTTCCCCTCTATAAGCCCTGATGGATCCTCAGGGTTGCGAGGCTAAAATGTCTCTTTATTTATCCTCACTGGTTCCAGGGAGACAAGAGCTGTATTAGACGGAGATAACTCAGTCACTTCAAGAGGTCAAAAGTGAGGGGCCCCTGGGTGGCTTAGTCGGTTAAGCGTCCGACTTTCGTTTAGGTCATGATCTCACGGTTCATGGGTTCGAGCCCCGCTTCGGGCTCTGTGCTGACTGCCAGCTTAGGGCCTGGAGCCTGTTTCAGAGTCTGTGTCTCCCTCTCTCTCTGACCCTTTCCTGCTCACGCTGTCTCTCTCTCGCGCCTTGAAATAAATAAAACATTTTAAAATTTTTTTTAAAAAAAGTGAGAACAGAGGGAGATGCAAAGTCAGGACCGTCCTCTGTGATCAGCCCTGGAAAATCTGGGGGCATCTATCATTTTGAGTCTCCTCCCATTCCTGCTGCTCACTCCTGCACTGCATATTCCAGGATAGCAGGTGGATGACAGCCTTGGTCTGATTATTATAGCCCTCAAGTCTGCAGAAGGGAGGATACCTCGCAGTCAGGGGGAGGAGCCATAGCAAGGAACCTGAGCATTGAGCAGACCACTCATCACCGGACCAAGGCCTTTCACAGAGCCCTCCATGTGATATCATTCCTTGAAAGGGTCCCTGGGGAAGATACCTTAGACTGAGTCCTACTCAAACTCCTCAAATTTTTCAAAAATGTGAGATTCTTGCTCTGGAGGATAGGTCTAAGGTCAGCCAAGAGAGCAGTTCTAGGCCCTGCAAGAAGCCAAGGTGAGGATCTAAATGAGAATTGAGAACCATAATTATCCCAGGATGGAGAAGGTCCCACATAGCTTTGCCATTGCTGTCATCTTAGGGCAGCGTTGGGCAGATGTGCTCAAATGTGGTTCTCCTTTAGTTCCTCCTCCAAGATGTCATTTGTGATGAGGGCTTTGGAATGAGGAGTCATGATCAAATCAGTTAAGCAGAGGACCACAGGTCCTATTGGAAATCAATGTAATGGTGTTGAATGTGAATGTAAACACCCCTAATCCACAACAGGGAAGGCCCCATAGACCCTGGACCTGCCAAACCCCTATCAGCTCCAGTAGACTCAGGTAGGGCTCCAAGAAGAGGAGCCTTGTGGGATCCTAGAGCAGTGCCCTCAAGAAACCTGGAGAAATGACTATTAACAAAGCCCAAGTTGGTATCTCCCTGCCAAAGGATATCACACTATTTAATCCTTTTTTCTATAGGTCACTGAATCATCTATACTCTTTTCCACATTCCTGCCTACTGTCCCTGATCAGAATCATGCCTCGGGGCCAGAAGAGTAAGCTTCGTGCCCGTGAAAAACGCCGCCAGGCTCGAGAAGGGTCAGAGCGTCTGGTGGCTGCTCAGGCCACTCACCCAGAGGAAGGAAAGTCTCTCTCTTCCCCATCTTCTCATTTCAAAGATGCTCCCCAGAGCCCCCCTGCCATGGGAACACCCAGGAATCCTCAAGTTCCTGGGAGAGTCAGCCCCACCAGCACTACTGCTGCAGCTGCTTCAAACACAAGATTTAATGAAGGTGCCAACAATCAAGTGGAGGAAAAGCCAAATGTCTCAAAAGCTGGAGGTACCACTGACGAATGGCACAGAGACCCTATAGAGAAGAAAGTTGCTATGCTGGTATACTACCTGCTGTACAAGTATCAAGTGAAAGAGCCTATTACTAAGTCAGATATGCTGAGAAATGTAATCCAGATTTATAAGAATCACTTCCAAGAGATCCTAAGAAAAGCCTCTGAGCACTTGGAGCTGGTCTTTGGCCTTGATGTGAAGGAAGTGGATCCCCACAGAAACACCTACGTCCTTATCAACAAGCTGGAACCGAGCTGTGATGCAAGAGAGAATGATCATGGAGGTGTGCCCAAGACAGGCCTGTTGATGACTGTCCTGGGTGTGATCTTCACGAAAGGCAACCGTGCCACCAAGGAGGAAATCTGGGAAGTGCTGAATATGATGGGGTTATATGATGGAAAGAAGAATTTCATCTATGGGGATCCCACGAAGCTCATCACCAAAGATTGGGTGAAAGAAAAGTACCTGGAGTACCGCCAGGTGCCCGGCAGCGACCCTCCAAGCTATGAATTCCTGTGGGGCCCCCGAGCCCACGCCGAGACCAGCAAGATGAAAGTCCTGGAGTTTGTGGCCAAGATACATGATACCGTCCCCACTGCCTTCCCAGGCTGGTATGAAGAGGCTTTGAGAGATGAAGAAGAGCGAGCCCGAGCCAGAGTTCTAGCCAAGGCTGGTACCGCTGCCACGGCCAGTGCACATGGCAGGGCCAAGCCCAGCAGCTTTTCCTGCCCCAAGTGAAGGCTAAGGAAGGTTATTTACTATCTGTTTGGAGAACAGCTAATGTTCTCATTAGTGGAAAGTCAGGGTGGGGCTGGAGACCAGAGAATATATTAACATGTTTGTGTTCTATGTAGTAACCTGGATATTTGTCTAAATGTTGCTCCTTCTAACAGAAGGTTTAACTAGCTTCAGAGTATATGAGTTTGTGAATGATATAAGCCACTCATTTACTGATGTTTATGAGTTTTATGAGTAAGAGTTTTACAATTTTATAGAATAAATTGGGAAATTTTCCATTTTATTAAGTTATTGAAACACAACATCATAGCATTTCCATGAAAGAACTCAGCAGTAAAATGCTGGGATGAAGAAATAGAGAAAGCAAAAGAAGATGAATCTTTTACATTTCCTTTATTGCTGTTTGGTCTGATCTCTCACATATATATATATGAGACAAATAGATGTGTTTTGTTTATTCAACAATGTAGAATTAATTATAGCATAATAAATTAGACCTCTTGCACACTGTCTCATTTATTTCTCAAACATTCCTCGGGCATCTACTCTTTGGGAGTCTGTGCTAGTGCTGGGAGTGTCAGGATAATCAACACCCACTGTGCCCATAGAATTTTAGAGTGCAGAAATAGCTGTCAAGTAGAGCAGAGGATGGGATACACCCACTGGCCTCAGGGCACTTACACTTGACTTCTCACATCCTCCCACGTGGAGGATCCACTCAAGTGTAAGTGCCCTGAGGCCAGTGGGTTTGGGGCCTTGGGCAACTGCAAGTCCTTTGGTGTGAGTCAGTTTTACATGAAGCTTGGGCAGTGGGTCAGATGAGTCTGTGGGAGTGGTAGGCAGGGGACAGACTCTCAGAAATTGTGTCCAGAGTTAAAAGATGTAAAGCCTGGAATGGAAAACTATTTTTAGCAGCTACTTTAAGATCATGAATTAGCTTAACGGAGGATCGTGGGGGAGAAGAAGGGGGGAAATAGTGGGGAAGAGGGAGGGCGGCAAACCATGAGATACTCTTGAATGCTGAGAACAAACTGAGGACTGGTGGGGGTGGGGGGAGGGGATGGGGGGTGATGGGCATGGAGGAAGGCACTTGTGGGGATGAGCACTGGGTGTTATACGGAAACCAACTTGACAAACTATTTAAAAAAAAAAGAAAAAGAAAAGATCATGATTTAACCAGAGAGAAATCTCCTTCTGGGACAAGAATGTAAGGTGCATCCTTCTCCATGGTTCTTTTCCCAGTGCAATTGAACACAACACACAAATTGTGCTTTTAGCACATCATCCACAGGGAGTTTCTGAGAGATAGAAATGACACACAACCTGGGTATGCTCGGAAACCACTGTGCTAGCAATCTTTGCTCTGGCCTTGAATAGAGACCACCCACTACATTCAAGTTCATTTTTTTAAGTTTTGTGTAATTTGGCAAACTCCAAGTGAGGGCTAGATTTTGAATGGAACTGAAATAAATGAAAAGAAGTGGTTTGGATGGAAGGACAGTTGGAGGGAGTTGGTTCTTGATGCAAAGGACCCTTAAGTTCCACCTAAATGGGGAAGACTCTCCCTAACATGCAATAAATAACATATCCTGAAAAGCATGCATAGTAAGTAATTTAGTTTTACTTGCTATGCATCATGGTGGCTGATTTGTTGTGCTGTCTCATAGGGTGTTGTATATTCTCTGATACTCTTGGATTAAAAAAAGAATCACAGAGCAGATTTTAATGAAGTCAGGTCAAAACAGTAATTATCAAAACTACAAATTATTAAAAATGGAATACATGCAGACATGTGCCAAGTGCTTTCATACATCATACACATCCCAGGGTTCTACAGAGCCAGGCCTCTCTAGCTCATTCCACAGAAAAGCCTTACGGAGTTTTGCAATTTTCCTGACTTCGCCTGGCTCATAAATGTCAGAAGTGGGACTAGACTTCTAGTCTGACTTCATTTAAGGTCCCTCACTGTTCCACTCCTTCTTGAAAAAAGCAAATGCTTTGTCTCTTAATTCATTTCCACTCTCACTACTCCACAAGGTCTCTCAGGAAATTGAAATAAAGGACCCCGTTGCCGATGTATGAAGCCTAGGTGTAATAAAAAAAAAAAAAAAGAAAAGAAAGAAAGAAAGAAAGAAAATGGGAATTAAAAACAGTTTCAGGAGAGGCTGTGGGCTTAATTTACCTAGGCTTCCCCTGCTTGTACCCCCAGGGTTCCTTGAGAGCTGACTCCACCCAGGTCCTAGCACTTGGGACCAGTTCCAGAGTTTCTGAATTACACCATTCTTTCCCTGGGCCTTCCCAGTATGTCCTCATGTCAAAATCTGTATCCTGACCAGCTGTCCAACTTCCTTTCATTAAGGCCACACTCTGTTCCCAGTGAAACAAGAAAGCCCAGAATCACGTGCCTTTCCCCTAACTTAGAGCATTCCAAACCCCTGAAGTTGTCCCCTGTCTGTCCCATCCCTGAAAACCCTCTGAGATAACAGGAATCCCATGCACTTGGTTGTTTATTTTGTCAGTGAAGTTTAGACTGCACATCTGCTCTGGGTGCTTCTCTAAGTTTTTTCCAAATTAGCTTGTGAGCAGTCTGATTTGGCACAGGATCTACTGATTCTTGAAACATAACCCTGAAGTGATGGAATAATTTTTTTATTTTTTTACGTTTATTTATTTATTTAGTTTTGAGACAGACAAAGACAACGTGACCAGGGGAGGGGCAGAGAGAATCTTATGCAGGCTCTGTGGTGTCAGCACAGAACCTGATGCTGGACTCAAACCCATGAAACTGCAAGATCATGACCTGAGCCAAAACCAAGAGTCAGATGCCCTACCAAATGAACCACCCAGGTAACCCTAGAGAAGAGATGAGATTAGTAAGACAAAAGAACTTAATCTGATAAATATGTGAGACTGGCCAGTGAATCCATATACTTAACTGAGTGGTCAGGAACCAAAGCCTCCCTCCTAAGTGGTAGATGAGAAAGGCCTGAAGAAATCACTATATAACATAGAAACCATTGGCAGAGGCTGGATTCCTAAAAACCCAGGTGTCCTTCCAGGGGGGATGTAGTAATTTTCTCTTGCCAACAAACAAATTGCCATAAATTAAGGCACTTAAAACAACACACATTTATTACCTCACATTTCTGTAAGTAATAAATAGGACTTGGTTGTGCTGTTTTCTTTGTTCAGGGTTACACAAAGCCCAAATCAAGCTGTCAGTCTGAGTTCTTATTGGGAGATACTGCGAAGAATCTCATTACACACTTGCATAGGTTGCTTTCAGAATCCAGTTTTATGAGGAATTCAGTTCCTTGTAACGGTAAGACCTAGGCCCGGTTTCCTTGCTGACTGTTAGCTGGAGCTACCATAGCTCCTCAAGGCCTCCCTCCACTCCTTGCAAATGGGCCCCTATTTCAGAAACAGCACGTTGACTCTGTCTCATGTGGAAACTCTCCTACTCCCACTGTGCTGCATATCTCTTCTGCCTCTGGCCAAACAAAAGTCCTCTGCTTATAAGGGCTCATGTCATTAGATTGAGCCCACTCAGGTAATACAGTATAACCCCCCTCTTTGAAGGTCCATTCCTTAATTTTAATGACATATGCTGCAAAGTGCCTTTGAATATGTAACATCACATACTCACAAGTTTCAAGGATAAAGGTATGGGCATCTTTGTGGAATAATTATTCAGTCCATCACCAAGACAAAATATCTCCCTGGCAGACACACTAGTTTTTATAAGAAAAGAAAAAAAACTTCACGAGCATACTCCTGACTCTTGTCTCTTTCTGCCTCAGAGGAAAATCCCAATTTTTCACTGTGCTTGAAGATACCTGAACAAGTGTTCAGCCACATTTTTCAGGTAGTGGATAGCAGAGACTCAAAAGTTAGAAGTTTTTCATGCAGCAAAAGGAAGCAGAAAATTCTTAGTGTATTGAGATTATAACATTACTATAATCTGTGGTCAGTGTAGGGGCTATACAGTGAAAAAGGGTGACATCTGCCAGCTGACATTATTTCCAGTGTCTGTTAGAAAAAATGGTGTGATCCTGTGTTTGAAAACAATGGTCACACATGGGCACTAGAAAAAGTTGTTGAACTGCAATGAAATTTGATCTCAGAAATCCTCCAGGAATAAAGAGGGGTAATGCCATAGCAAATTGCAATAGTGCTATTTTCTGAGAACCTATTATGTAACAGTTAATGAGAAGGTCTGCAGATGCTCAGTTACTTCATGTCTTGTTCTCTATCCTTGGAGGCTACTTGCCAGTCTACTAGAAGATAGGAAGGGTCAAGTGACTATCTGTGACACTGAAATAGAGCAGAAGCATGCCTCTCACCTCCAGACAAAGGTATTTGAGAACTAGTATGCCACCTGCATGCTTTTTGTTTCATTGAGCAGCAAACATACAGAGCCTGTGTTGACCTGTGGAAGTTTATGTTGGGCTTGCCCGACAATGGAGACACCCTGCCAATGCTCATCAAATATTATGTACCTAAGAAATAAAATGTTTCATGTGAAGCAATTCTAAATCACATTTTCCCATTATACCTCATAAATACTTTATCTGAATAATACACAGACACTATTTCTGCTCTCTTATTAAAATATTTTAATTACAAAGAAAATAGGGCATATATCTTGTTGCCAAAAAATTCTAATAATAGGGAGAGATTATAATTCTACTTCCTTACTATGTTCCTCCAAATTTTATCCCATCTCAGAGGTAACTGCTTTAAAAAACCTTGTGTGTAGTATTTTAAGATTTATTCCAGGCTTATTTTTACATACATGTGTTAGAAAAATACACTGGGAGTTTTAAAAAATACATGTATCACAGTGTACATATCATTTTCTTCTTGCCCATGTCACTGAATAAAATAAATGCAGAATCTTTCCACGATAACACAAATAGATCCACTTCACACTGTTAACTACTCCCTAGAATTCTAAAATGTGTATGTACCATAATTAATTTAACCATTCTCTGCCTGATGGACACACAAGTTGTTTCTCATGTGTTGCTAAGATTAAGAGAATTGATATCAACATCATTGAACATCAATTACAGGGCAAATGTGGATGTTTTCTTATGGAGAGATGTAGACCAGTGCAATTAAAGTGGAAAGAATCTAATGACAGTAAGTTTTTACAAATATTGTTGATATTCTGTTCTTATAAAGCTATACCAAATTACTTTTCATATATTTATGTATGTGAATAAATTGGGCTCTCATTGACATTTTACTTTATCCATTTTTAAATTCCAGTCAACTTTTGATCAAAAAAATATTATGTCACTGCTAGTTTAATTTGTATTTCCCTATTTTATAAACAGATTAAGCAGAAAATTAATTTAATCATTTACCCATAAAAGCAGGATTTCTGCAGTGTAGATTTAGTACTAGGATTCTTCTGGGTGCATAGTTTAAAATTCTATGTCCAGAAGATTTTCCCCTTTCCTGTGAGAACCTAGGATTTGTCAGAATGACCAGGTACCAGGAGATGGGCCTGGACAGGGAAACATCGATAAGTGAGGAATATCAGGAGGACCACGGATGGAGGAAGTAGAGCAATTTCCAGAATCCATGAGAGAGCACAGGGCAGCTGGCAGTCGGGGATCTGAATGTAGGCTTCAGCAAAAACAGAAAAGGTGCCAGAAGGAGAGGACATGGAGAATCTGGTGGAAGGTACCAGACAGCTGGACAGGCTAAGGAAGCTGAATCTTCACTGCCGGCCTGAAATTGTAGAGTGATGTCATGGGTAGATCTGTTGGATGAAAGCACCAGGCATGCCCGAAAGCCCCCTCACCCGAGTGTCCCCTGTCCACCATCAGGCAGCAAACAGCTGGCTCCCCCTGTGTCACCCACCAAGTAATGTTCACTGATGGGATGTGGGAGAGCTACATCTCTTCACTACTCTAATCATTCCATGCATCCTTGCCAGTGTACCAGAGCTGTGAGTGGTCTTGATGCCTGATGAACAAGGCTAATTCTTCCCCTATGCATGTGGCCCTCCTGCCACTGAGATTGAGACTCTGCAAGTGGCTGGCCTTGGTGATTCAGAATGTTTAAAAGAGGGCAAGTATTACCAACGAGTGCTGGAAGGAGGTGTGTGGCTGCAAGCAGGGGCAACTGGAGGGGGAGTTTGCTGAGGCTCATTACCCAGTGGCTCCGGGAATAAAGGGCTGCGTGTAGACCTGTCTTGAGAAACAACCCAGGTGTTGTCCCCAGCTTCCTGACTTCTTTGCACACCAGAGGGCAGATGTACTCTGGCTGAGTCTTGTGGTCTTTGTTGCTACCAGATGCTGACTGGAGTAGGGTGTGTGTCCACAATGGAAACACCTACAGGTGGTTGGAGAGCCACTGAAGATGGTGAACTTCCTTGTTAAGCTGGGAATAATGGGTTATGTGGAGTCCAAAACTATTGTTGCTATAACCCTGACTCTACTGAATTGAAAACTTAAAAATATTTAATTAAAAAGTTTAAAAAGGATCCTGGACTAACCATTCCCCAAATTATCACAGGATCTACAGTAAATTTTGTATCACCATCCTCAAGCCAGTAGAGGGAGGAGTCCCAGACTCTAAGAAGTAAAAGTGGAGACCCTGAGGGAGCTCTTTGGGAGCCACTCAATCCATAACAGAATGGATCCACACAAACCTGTCCCTGCTATGTAAGCAATTCTAAGCCTGCGACTGGGTGTTAGATCCGAGCACTATTCACTTCACCCTCTGGCGCCTGATGATGGAGGGTTGGAGGTTGGGATGCCGTAAGACAAAGCCTTCGTTTTAGGCTGTCTGCCTCAGATCAGGAGACTTTAAGGCTAGCTGACTCAGATCAGGAGACGGAGGAGTCCCAGACCTCCAAGGAGTCAATAAGATCTATATGTGAGTTTTGCCAGAGTCCTCTACGCCCACAAAACAGAGTCCATCCCTCACCTCCAAGAGCCACACCCCTTCCCTCCGCCACAAATAGGAATGGCCGGAAGTGGCTTCCCCCCAACTTCCGTCTCCGGACCACTCTTCGAAGTGAAACATTGTTCCAGCGGGCCGGATCAGGAGAGCTGAGCAAAAGAATTGTCAGGAATAATTCCAGACACCGTCTGGAATTTCGGTAAGGACCCTCGATAAAGACCCTTAGACTTGACGGCACTCCAACCCGCGTGCGCACGCGGGCACGAGCGTCCGCCCGCGGGCACAGAGAGAGAGAGAGAGAGAGAGAGAGAGAGAGAGAGACTGAAGGGGGCTGACAGAATCCTGATAGGCCCTGGACAAGGATCACCTGATGTAGTATTCTTTGAATTCCCCCTCTGTGGACAGGGATTTGACGGTATCAGAACAGGGTTTGGCATTAGACCTTCCAGCAGTTAAGTTGAGGATCGTAAGGTCTGAGGGAACCTAGATTCCACGACAGATGAGGAGGGCTACTCAGACCCCGGGCCCCTGCTGTCAGGCCTGGGAGGCCCCTGATGGGAGTGGCTGGTTATAATACACCCAGAATTCTGCCTCTGGAGTCTTAGGGAAGTGAAAAAATTGGTGCAGAAAAGGATGGCTTAAGTGAGAGGGAGAAGACTCTCCCTCTGCTAACCCTGTCAAGATGTGAGGTAAGGACTCTTTGTGAGGTATGGGAATATCCACTATCAAACAAGAGGAAGCTGGACAGAGTCTGGCCCTGCCATCAGCGACAGCGGGCCTCGGGCAAGGGATATCTGATATAGCACCTTCGAAATTCTTCCTTTGGAGATTAGGCGTGCCTGGGTGGCTCAGTCGGTTAAGCGTCCGACTTCGGCTCAGGTCATGATCTCACAGTTCGTGGGTTCGAGCCCCGCGTCAGGCTCTGTGCTGAAGGCTTGTTTAGAGCCTGGAGCCTGCTTCAGATTCTGTGTCTCCTTCTCTCTCTGCCCCTCCCCGCTCACGCTGCCTCACTCTATCTCTCAAAAGATAAATAAATGTATAAAAAAATTCTTTCTTTGGAGATTCAAGGAAGAGATGGCATTGGGCCAGAATTTCTGGCTTTAGGCTAGCAGGTGGAAGGGTTCCATATCCTAACATAGGTAAAGGTTAGGACACTAACAGGTCTGAGTGACCTCACACCCCAAAAGAGATGGGTTTTTACAGAGTCCTGACACTGCTTTCAGCCCAGGGGAAGGGTCAAAGTGATAGTGGTTGGATGCAAAACATTCTGAATTCCAAAATCTGGCATTTCAAACAATTGAGCCACTTCCTGTAAGAGGGGCTGCTTTAGGTCATCAGAGGAACTACTTCTAGGTCCTGCCAGGAGAGAATGAGAGTAGTGAGACGGATCTTGACGAAGTTCTGAGGGAATCAGTGACTTCATATAAAGTGGGCCTGCACAGAGTGCCAACCATGCTGTAAGCCCTGCAGGGAGAGTACTGTGTAGATATGTTTGGCTCAGGGCCCTCCACCTACTCAGTAATTTTAAAAAATACAAGGGCCTTATCTTGAAAAGATATGTCTCAAACCAGGAAAGGGAAGAGTACCAGGCCCTACCAGAATATAAGGTAAGGACCCTGAGTGAGGAGTGAGGACTCTAATTACCCCAGAATGGACAGGGTTCTGCTGAGCTCTTCCCTTATTGTCATCCTTGGGAATATATGGTCAACTGAGGTCTCCTTCAATTTCTCCTCTGGAATCAAAGGAATATGAGGTAATTGAAATGAGGTTGATAAAAGCTTAGTAAAGGGACCCTAGAAGCTATCAGAAGCCATGATGATAGCCCTGAAAGTGAATGAGAGAAATGCATTCTACCCCAAACAGAGGGGCCTAGAATATAGCCTGGATATTCTAGGCCTTGTTGTCACCCCAGTGAGCACCAGACAGATCTGGCAGGTAGTAGTTTAAGGTGAAATCTAGTTACTTTCACAGGGTTCTCAGGAAACAGGCTGAAAAGAGAAAATGAACCTTATGAATTCCTTAAGCAGTACACACAAGATAACCTGCAGAGGCAGCCATCAATAAAGTCAGGGTGGCATCCCACTGTGAATAGGCACACAGCATCTTATCCTTTTTCCTCCAGGTCACTGGTTCACCTGCCCACATCTCTGTTGCACCAGAACAAAGCCATCATGCCTCGGGGTCAGAAGAGTAAGCTTCGTGCCCGTGAGAAACGTCGCCAGGCCCAAGAAGACTCACAAAATCTGGTAGGTACTCAGCCCCACTACTCACCTCCACTCCTCTTCCTCCCTTCATTCCAAGGGCATACCCTCAGAGCTAACCTGCTGGATAATCTGCAATCCCCAGGGTCTTCAGAGAGCAACATTCACCACCACTACAGCTGCAGCTCTTTCATTCATGAGATCGATTGAAGGTGCTAATGAAGTAGAGGAAAGGCCAAGATTCTCCCAGAATCCAACAGACACTCAGCCATTTTATAGAAGCCCTCTAGAAGAAAAGGTGTTTATATTGGTATACTACCTGCTTTACAAATATCAAATGAAAGAGTTTATTACCAAGGCAGATATGCTGAGAAATGTAATTCAGATCTATAGGAATCAATTCCATGAGATCCTTGGGAAAGCCTCTGAGAAACTGGAGCTGGTCTTTGGCCTTGACGTGAGGGAAGTAGATCCTAATAAGCACATCTATGTCCTCATTAACAAACTAGAACCAACTTATGATGGCAGACTGAGTGTTGATAGTAGTGTGCCTGAGACTGGTCTGCTGATGACTGTCCTGGGCGTGATCTTCATAAAGGGCAACTGTGCAACTGAGGAGCAAGTCTGGGAAGTGCTGAATATGATGGGGTTATATTCTGGGCAGAAACACTTCATTTATGGGGAGCCCAGGAAACTCATCACAAGAGATTTAGTGAAAGAAAATTACCTGCAGTATCAGCAGGTGCCTAACAGTGACCCTCCACGCTATGAATTCCTGTGGGGTCCTAGAGCTCATGCTGAAACCAGCAAGATGAAAGTTCTTGAGTTTTTGGCCAAGATCCATGATACCGTCCCCACTGCCTTCCCACTCTATTATGAAGAGGCTTTGAGAGATGAGGAAGAGCGAGCCCGAGCTCGAGCCACAACTAGGGCTCGTATCGCTGCCATGGCCAGTGCACGTGCCAAGGCCTTGGCAAGCAGCTCCTCCCACCCCTAGTAAAGTCTGAGGCAGATTCTCCATTTTTATTTTGTAATTCATGTTCTCATTAGTGGAAGGTCAGGTACAGATAACGCAGTGTATAATGTGTTTATATTCTTATTCCATGTTAACTTAGATAATTTTTTTATTACTTTTCCTTTTGATAGAAGATTTATTAGCTTCAAAAATTCAAGTTTATGAATGACATTTTCAAATTTGTGCTATATATGAGATTTAACAGTAGGAGATTGTTATTTTGTGAACCAAATTGGGAAATTCCTCATCTTATTTACTGATTTGGAACATGATAACAAGTCAGTGGATTAGGCATTTCTTTGGAAATGTGAAAGAATTCAGCAGTAAAATATTTGGTGTCAAGAAATAGACAAAAAAGAAAAGATAGCCAAATATTGTATTTTCTATTCACTTTTAGTTTGTTTAAAATTAAATGATATATGCTTGTAGAGATAGATAATCCAAGAATGTAATTAATTACATCATAATAAATTAAACCTCTTTCACACTGTCTCATTCATTTCTCAAACAAACATTCCTTGAGAGGCTTTGTGCTAGTACTGGGAGTGTCTGGATAAATAAGCCCCACTGTGCCCATAGAATTTTGGTGTCAGAGTAGCCATCAAGTAGGGAAGAGGATGGGATACACCCTAAGACTTAAGGACAAGTCAAAAGAAGGAGAGGACATGCGAGGATCCAAGTATGAGAAATCAAGTGCAAATGCCCTGAGGCCAGTGGGTCCGGGGCCTTGGGCAACTGCAAGTCCTTTGGTGTGAGTCACTTCTATGTGAAACTGGGTGGTGGATCAGATGAGGCTGTGGGAGTGGTGGACAGGGGCCAGGCCCTCAGAAGTTGTGTCCAGAGTTAAGAGACTAAAGCCTAGAATGGAAAACTGTGTCTAGTAGTTACTTTAAGTTCATGAATTAACCAGAAATCTCCACCTGAGGCAGAAATAAAAAGTGCTCCGTGATCTTGTCTTAGGGCAAGGAACACAGTGCACAGACTAGGTATTTTACATACATTGTCTCCAGCGAGTCTTTGAGAAACAACAGTGATAAAGCTTTGACCTATGATGATCTGAAGCCACTTTGCTGGCAATCTTTGACTTGAGCTGTCAAAGACAGAGCTCATTCCGTTAATAGGGTATTTAAATTGGGTTATCTTGAGTGTAAATTGGCAAACTCAAAGCAAGAGATAGATGTTTTGATGGGAATGAACCAGGTAGTCCTTAACACACTTCCTAGCAGCTTTATAGGCATCCAGCTAGGAAAGGTTTTCCCAACTCACATTAAAAATCCTCAAAATGTTCCTTAGCAGGTAACTTACTTTTTCTTGGTAATAAATATTTTGGCTGATTTGGTGTGTTATGTACTATTGTTTTGTACATTCTCTGACATCTCTAGGATAAAAATAAACTTTAAAATCCCAAGATGGAGGTTGGTAATATTTGATGTCAGAATTTTAGTAGTAATATCTGTTAATTATCAAAGACCCAAAAAAGCAATTCACTGTACCAGGTACCTTACATAAACCACTTATATTCCAACAGTTTGACTTCACAAGGTACCATTGAGCCAGAGTGCAAGCTGACTACATCAAGCCCATTTTGCAGATGAGGAACCTGAGGTACACATAACTCTTGTGATTTTCACATGAGTTCACATGGTTCAGAAAACACAGGCCTGAGAACAAAGCCCTGTTCCCAAGTCCTCTGGAGCCCACAAAGTGCCACTTCTCCCAGCCTGAGGCCAACCTTCTGTCCCTTAATTACTTTCTCTTCTCACTATCACACTGATGTTTCTCAGGCAATGAAAGAAGCACCCTGTGGCCAAAGTACTAAAACCAGGCCAAAAGAAGGAAGGTAAATGTGAGAATCAGGCACAATTTGGGGACTGTCCCTGTTATTCAATTCCCTAGGATCTCCTGGCCCCTCGCCCCAGGGTCCCTTGAGAGCTGGCTCTCTGCCCCAGTCTCCACACAAGTGTCCAGTCCCGGCATTTTCCTGAATGACTGCTCCCTCCCCTGGATCTTCCCCAGTGGGCCCTCATGTCCAAACTGGGACCTGTCCTTCAGGCCAGGTCTCTTCTGGGTCCTCCTGTGGAGGCTGCGCCCTGCTCCTGGGGGAACAGACAGTCCTCAGGCCGCGCCATCCCCTGATTTACAGCATTCCAACTCCCTGCTCCCCCATTCTGCCCCCTGGCCCCACTCTGACAGCAACTGCCTTTCCGTGTAATTCTGGCAGTGAGGTTTCAGACACCTCCTGACCTCCATCCCCCACCCCAGGTGTCTCCATCACATTCACCAAAAAGGTTTTTTAACCAAATCTGCTGATAATTTGATACAGAATATAGTGGCTATAATATCCTGGAGCAAAAATATAATCGTGAAGGTAGAAAGGAGGTGTTAGGAAGCAGATAAAATCACAAAGAAAGGAGAATTTAAGCTGATGAATTATTTGAGACTGCCCACTGAATCCATACACTGATGAGTGAGCTTAACTAAGTAGTCAAAAACCAAAGCCTCGCTCCTACATGGTAGATGAGGAAGGACAGAGGAAATCACTGTAGAAACTATCAGCAGAGACTAGATTCTAACAGACCCTGCAGTCTTTTCAGGAAGTTATAGTAGTTTTCTATGGCTGCCTTAACAAATTAAGGCTGGAATGGCTTTGCTAGATTCTGTGCTAGGATTTTTGCAGCCCAAGTCAAACTTTGAGCTGGCAGGCCTCTCATCATGAATTCTGGGAAGAGTCTCCTTCCAAGATCATTCAGGTTGTTGGAAAAATCCAGTTCTTTGTGGTAATAAGACTGAGGCATTGTTTTCTTACTGTCATAGCTCCTCTAGTCCTCTCTCTCCAGTCCTTGCATCTGGGCCCATATATTGTGAATCAGCAATAAAACAATGTGTTCTTCTCATGCTTGGAATCTCTTCTAACTCTTGGATTCTCTCTAACTGCACCTCCTCCAACTATGCTGTATCTCTTTTCTATCCACCCAGAAAAACTTCTCTGCTTATAAGGGCTCATGCCATTAGGTTGGGCCTGCTCTGATTATATCTTTATTTTAAAGTCATTTTCATGGCCTTACTACATCTGCAAAGTGTAACATAATATATTCACAGGTTCCAGGGATAAGGTATGGGTATCTCTGTAGAAGAGTTATTCAGTCTACTACCGAGGGAAAAAAGGTCTCCCTGGCAGATGTGCCAGCTTTGATAAGAAAAGAAAAAAACTAACCCTGACTCTTGTCCGTATCTGCTGCAGGGGCAATCTTGGTTTTCAGTGTGCCCAAAGACATCTGTGCAAGTGTTCAGTTGTGTTCATCAAGTGGTGCATAGCAGAAACTCAAAAGTTGTGATTTTTGACCATGCATGAAAAGGAAGAAGTAAATTCTCATTGTATTGAAATTATACAGATTATTGAAAAGGTCAGACCTGGAAAGTGTTATAGCAGGAGGACAGGAGCAGGTGAGCATCTGACTTTGGCTCAGGTCATGGTCTCATGGTTCATGAGTTTGGGTCCCAAATTGGGCTCTCTGCTGTCCATGCAGATTCTACTTCAGATTCTTTGTCCTCCTCTCTCTGCCCCTCCCCTGATCGCATTCTCTCTCTCTCTCTCTCTCTCTCTTTCTCTCCCTCCCTCTTCCTGTCCAAAAACATAAACATAAACAAAAAATAACATTTTAAAATAAATAAATATAAATCTGGAGTGTTGCAAGGCAATATTGGCCTTCTTGGAAACTTCTCGAAGAATGAAGAGGACTTTGTACACAAATTCTAAGTGTTAAACTTTCCTGATCACCTGCTCTGTAACTGTTTATGGATAAACTACAAGGGCTCACCCACATCACATTTTCTCTCCTTCCTGGGCTCATGGGCATATATATTGTCCAGTCAACTTGTAGTTAGAAAAGGTTTTGTGACAACCCTTCCCACTGAAATATGAACAGAAACAATATTTGTCATCTGCAGACCAAGGCATTTGAGAGTCAGTATGCCACTCTTATGTTTTCTGTCCCATTGAGCAGAATCATGGAGATCCTGTGTTGAGATGTCCATCCACACTGTGTAACCAGACTGTATTCCTGGGTCACCAGACAGCAAACATCCTGCCAGCCCATTAGGCCTTATATGTATGAGAAGTCCAACATTTGTAGTGTTAAGTCATTCAGATTTCAGTTTCCACCATTACATCCATTAAGGTTACTTTGCTGTTACACACAGCTATTTCTGTTGTTAAGTCTTTCTTAAATATACTAATGACAAAAGAAATAGTGCATATATTCTTGATGTTATAAAATTCTAAAAATACACTTCTTCCTCCTTCTCATGGTTTTTAAAAAATTCAGGCCCTGCTCAAAAAAAAAAATTACGTGCATAATTTTTGTTTATTCTACACTTTTACTTACATATATGTGCCAGAAAAATACACTGTTGGTAACTCCTTTTTCAAATGTCTCCAGTGAACACCAAGACAAACTACTGAGGGATCAGAGCAGGGTGGTAACCCCATTCTCACTCCACTTTACCATAAATTTCTATCTGTGTTACTTCTGTACCTCACTTGTAAATAATAGGTTCTATCACTCTTGCCAGACCAGAAGTTCTTGAAGGATCGTCCTTGCATCCCCTTTGCATCTTTGCTGAAAACATAACAGGTTTTCAGCAAATGTGGACGAGGTGTGGTTAAAGGAGCAAGGTATGGGGGTAGGAAGGCAGAGAAAGAATGTTCAGGTGAGGAGCAAAACCAAAACGTGTCTCGCTGGAGAACATGAACCATGGGCTTCTCAGTGGGTGACCAGGAGGCATAAGATTCATAGCATGAACATGGACATTTTCCTGGAATATAATCATTGAAATACATTCATATAACATTTATTGAGTGCTCATTAGATGCTGGAGCCTTTTCTCTGACCTGTATTCTGTAATCACTTTCTGATGTCTTCCTAAGTAAGGGCAGTCATCATCACCATTTTATTCAGATGAGACATAGAGAAATTGAGACATAGAGAACTTGTCCAAACTAGAAGGGCAGAATTAAAAGATAACTATTGTGAGTTTTCACAATACGTGTATAATGTGTGTAATGTCCTGCCTCTTACTAGTCTCATGAATAAAAGGAATGCAAAAGCTTTCCATGAGAGCACATATAGATCCACCTAACCTTTTGAAGTATTCCCTATGATTTTAAAGTGTTTATGTGCCATAACTAATGTAACCATTCCCCTTCCAATGAACACAGAAGGTATTTCTCATTTGTTACCATCATTAACAGAACTTAAATAAACAATGAACATGGTTCTTGGGCAAATGTGGCTGTTTTCTCCTAGGAAAGGTAGAAATTGTGTAAACTGCGTTAAAGTGGAAAGACTTCGGTGATTGGAACTCTTTAAATATTTCTGAAATTGCATTCCAGTAATGCTGCACCAATTCATATTTTCACAAATTAATTTATGTAAGTAAACTACACTCACTGGCATTTAATTTTATCGATTTTAAATTTTGAGCAATATTTTTGGTGCAATTATATGGTCTCAGTTTTGTTTTAATTTGTATTTCTGTTTTGTAATGAAATTGAGCAGAAAATTAACATAATCCCTCACTCATATGAATCGGGATTTCTGCTGAGATATATCAAGTAGTAGGATTCCTCTAGGTGCATGGTTTAAAATTCTATGTCCAGAAGATTTTCCCCTTTCCTGTGAGAACCTAGGATTTGTCAGAATGACCAGGTACCAGGAGATGGGCCTGGACAGGGAAACATCGATAAGTGAGGAATATCAGGAGGACCACGGATGGAGGAAGTAGAGCAATTTCCAGAATCCATGAGAGAGCACAGGGCAGCTGGCAGTCGGGGATCTGAATGTAGGCTTCAGCAAAAACAGAAAAGGTGCCAGAAGGAGAGGACATGGAGAATCTGGTGGAAGGTACCAGACAGCTGGACAGGCTAAGGAATCTGAATCTTCACTGCCGGCCTGAAATTGTAGAGTGATGTCATGGGTAGATCTGTTGGATGAAAGCACCAGGCATGCCCGAAAGCCCCCTCACCCGAGTGTCCCCTGTCCACCATCAGGCAGCAAACAGCTGGCTCCCCCTGTGTCACCCACCAAGTAATGTTCACTGATGGGATGTGGGAGAGCTACATCTCTTCACTACTCTAATCATTCCATGCATCCTTGCTAGTGTACCAGAGCTGTGAGTGGTCTTGATGCCTGATGAACAAGGCTAATTCTTCCCCTATGCATGTGGCCCTCCTGCCACTGAGATTGAGACTCTGCAAGTGGCTGGCCTTGGTGATTCAGAATGTTTAAAAGAGGGCAAGTATTACCAACGAGTGCTTGGAAGGAGGTGTGTGGCTGCAAGGAGGGGCAACTGGAGGGGGAGTTTGCTGAGGCTCATTACCCAGTGGCTCCGGGAATAAAGGGTTGCGTGTAGACCTGTCTTGAGAAACAACCCAGGTGTTGTCCCCAGCTTCCTGACTTCTTTGCACACCAGAGGGCAGATGTACTCTGGCTGAGTCTTGTGGTCTTTGTTGCTACCAGATGCTGACTGGAGTAGGGTGTGTGTCCACAATGGAAACACCTACAGGTGGATGGAGAAGGACTATAGTTGGTGTAGTTCCTTATTAAATTGACTGATAGTGACAGATATATTGTGGAGTCCAAAGCTATATTTTTTGTGTAATAACTCACACTTGACTGAATTAAAATTAAAAAAATAACCAAGGTCTGTGCTAGCCACTCTCAAAATCATCACATGATCTGTAGTAAATATAATAAAATCTAAAAATTTTAAGAGAGGACAGTGGATCGACCTGTCAAACTCAGGCCAACAGACTGAGGAATCCCAGGCCCTAACAGAAGGAAAGGTGAGGACTCTGAATGAGACCAGAGGGAACAACCCATCCCAGAATGGAAGATGCTGCCACACACAGTCCCATTCCTGTTGCCAGCCTTGGGAAATTCCAGAAAAAGGTGGATAGAAATGGCTTCTCTTGAATTCTGTCTCTGGTGTCTCAGGGAAATGAACACCTTGATCTGTGGTGGGCAGTGTCAGGTTAGCAGAAGAAAGAGTCCAATCTCTGCTTGGAGTTTAGACAAGGTCCCTGATTGAGTTTAACAGAATCCTACTCCAAGAGAGAGTAGACCTCGACAGAGTTTCACCTGTGCTTACAGTTCTAGCAAGCTCTTTGCAGGGATTGCCTAAGTAGTGCCTTCTGAATTTCCCTACTGGAGACTCAGGGACTTGAGGACATCTGGATCTGGGTGTGGCGTCAAGGCTACAGAGAATGAAGTCCCAGGCAGTAACAGAAGTAAAAAAGGTAAGGACTCAGTCTGATTTCTGTGAGACCTGCCCACCCCAACAGATGGGCAGCACAGTGGCCTGCTTCTGCTGTCAGCCCCTGGGAGGTCCTGGTATACTGGTGATGAGGCTCAGAAGCCCTTTCACTTCATCCTCTAGAAACTGGAGAGTGATGTGGGGAGGGCCTCAGTTTAGGACTAACATGGGGAGGATACCTAGTATCAGTCAGAAGTAAAAATAATTAATTAATTAAAAAATTTTTGAAACCCTTTGTGACAGAAAATGCCACCATTGGGAGACCTCAGGCAAAGTTGGCCAGAAATGATATACTCTGATAGCCACCTTGGGGTCTCAGGGAAGTGAACACATTGGTCTAAGGGTAGTGGTGTGACACATCCACTGAAGAAGGACCTGTGGGCTCTGCCTGGACTTAAGGTAAGGATCCTGAGTTAGGTGTCATGGTACTGCCCATCCCAGACTGGGGAAGCTCCTCCCACAGAGTCCAGACCCTACCACCAGCCCTAATAGAACCCAAGCAGGAATCAACGGTTGTAGCAAACTCTGAGAAACTACTAAATTTCCCAAGGGGACTGATGAGGGTAAGGGTGTCAGCTTCAGAGCAGTTAGGTCCCAGGTCCTAAAAGGAGTAAAGATAAGGATTCCGAGATTTGAGGGAGCCACCCCACCCCAACAGAACAAAGGAGTCCTCACAGAGCACCACCCCTACTATCAGACCTGGAAAGTCCCACGTGGGGATTTAAGAATGTGACGCACCCTGACTTCTCCCTTAGGTGTCTGAGAGAAGCAGTAGTTTTCATGTTATTGTGCAGCATCAGAACAATCAAGGGAGGAGCTCCAGGCCCTACCTGGAATTAAGGGAAAGACCTTGGGTTAGGTGTGAGTGGATGGGCCCACTCCAGATTAGAGGGGTTTCCAGTCAGTACTGCCCCTGCTATCTGCCCTGATAGAACCTAGCCAGGAAATGTTTGACATATGGACATCTGACTACCTTCTAAACTTCCCCAGAGCGGGAATGAGGTGGGTGAGGTAATCGGAACAGGCTGTCAACTTCAGACCTGCAGGGGGAACAGTCCCAGGCTCTAAAGGGAATAAAGGGAAGAACTCTGAGTGACATCTGAGGGAACCACCCACTCCAGAACATAGGGGACTTGCAGAGCCCTGCTCATACTTTCTATTCCAGAGGCTGTGGGTTAGGTTGGATTAGTGTAAAGCATCCTGACTTCTGTATCTGATGTCTCAGCGGCAATGTATACTTTAGACTAGAAGGAGGTAGGTGTTAGGGGAGGGAGGAGCTCCCAGGTCCTGCCACAGTGTGGGGAAAACACTGAATGAGGTCTAAGGGAAAAACTCACTCCCAACAAAGAGTACCTCACAAAGCCCCACTGTTGAGGTCAGCCCTGGGAGGCCTTGGTAAGGATGTGAGGCTGAGGCACCTCCTCACACCCTTGGGCAGTCAGGAAGATGAAATCTGATCTGAGCGGGCAGTCTTATTGTCATTAGAAGGAGGGACCCACTCTTCCAGCTTGAGTAAGGAGTAAGATCCCTAGTTACTCTAGAATGGAAAGAATCCCCCAGGGCTCTGCCTGTACTTTCTTCCCTGTGCATTCTTGGGCAGGTGCAGTAAGATGAAGTTTCCCTCAGTTCCTCCTCTGAGGTCTCAGAGTGGTAAGGGCTTTGAGATGAGGGGTCAGCCTCTGAAAAGTAGAGCATGGGGACCCCAGGTCCTTCCTAAAGTAAACTGATGAACCTTAATGTGAACTGAAATGCTCTCTAACTCAGAGCAATTGCTCTAAGCCCCAGTGAGCTTCACATGGACCTGCAGGTAGGAGCTAAGGTCCACAGGGTCCTCAGGACAAGGCAGAGAACAGGAGCCTTGGGGGTTCCTCAAGAAGTACCCTCAAAGAAACCTGCAGGGTTGACCTTCAGTAAAGCCAAGGCTGTATTTCTTTGGTGAAGTGGCCTAACAATGTCATCCTTTCCCTTTCAGGTCATTGAGTCTTCTGCCCTTTTGCTGCCTTAGTCAAAGGTCATCATGCCTCGGGGTCAGAAGAGTAAGCTCCGCGCCCGTGAGAAACGCCGCCAGGCTCCAGTAAAGCCCCAGGATCTTGTAAGTGCTCAGGCCACCACAGCAGTAGGAGAAGTTTTCTGCTCCCTTTGCTCTCCTCATTTCAGCAACTCAGCTGCTGCTGGGTCATATTGCACTCCCCAGGGGCCTCAGAGAGCCACAGCCACCACCACTCCTGCTGTGGCTGTTTCACACACAAGATCGAATGAAGGTGCCAACAACCAAGGGGAGGAAAGGCCAAGATCCTCCCAGGCCCATCCCACCACCATGCCCTTTCAGAGAGACCCACTAGATGAGAAGGTGGTTTTGTTGGTGCATTACCTGCTGCAAAGGTATCAAAAGAAAGAGCTCATTACCAAGGCAGGAATGCTGAGAAATGTAATCCAAATGTATAGGAACCAGTTCCATGAGATCCTCAAGAGAACTTCTGAGCACTTGGAGCTGGTTTTTGGTCTTGATTTGAAGGAAGTAGATCCCAACCGGCACATCTATGTCCTTGTGAACAAACTGGAACCAAGTTATGATGCAGTATCGGGTGATTACGGTGGTGTGCCCAAGACAGGCTTGTTAATGACCATTCTGGGTGTGATCTTCACAAAGTGCAACTGTGCCAATGAGGAGCAAATCTGGCAAACACTGAATGTGATAGGATTATATGAGGGGAGGCAGCACTTCATCTTTGGGGAGCCCAGGAAGCTCATCACAAAGGATTTTGTGAAAGAAAAGTACCTGGAGTACCGCCAGGTGCCCGGCAGCGACCCTCCACGCTATGAATTCCTGTGGGGCCCCCGAGCCCACGCCGAGACCAGCAAGATGAAAGTCCTGGAGTTTCTAGCCAAAGTTCACGATACCATCCCAAGTGCCTTCCCAGCCTGGTATGAAGAGGCTTTGCAAGATGAGGAAGAAAGAGCCCAAGCCCGAGCTGCAGCCAGGGCTCATACCGCTGCCATGGCCAGTGCACGTGCCAAGGCCATGACCAGTGCACATTCCAAGGCCACAACCAGTGTGCACACCAAGGCCATGCCAATAGCTCCTCTAACCACTAATAAAGTCTGAGGAAGATTCTTCACTTTGTTGTTAAAAAGAAACGTCTGTATGTTAAGAAGTACAGGATCAGGGTGGGGCTGGGGAAAACACAGTATATAATGTATTTGTGTTTCTGTTCTATGTGGTGACCTGGATAATTTTTTAAAATACTGTTCCTTTTAATAGAAGGTTTAAGCAGCTTCTAAGACAAATTTATGAATGATATTGCTCAAATATTTATTGCTGTGAATGAGATTCAAGAGTAAGAGTTTTGTTATTTTGTAAAATTGGAAAACTTCCATCTTACTTAGTAATCTGGAACAAGATAACATGGCAGTAGATGAGGCATTTCCTTGGAGGTGTGAAAAAACACAGTAGTGTAATAGTTGGGATCAGGAAATACAGAAATAGATAAAAAACGATAAATTCTTAGCTTCATTTATCAGTTTTAGTCAGTTGTTTTGTAACTATATATATATATACACACACCTGGATATATTTAGTTTATCCAAGAATGTAGGAGAAATAATTATATCATAATAAATTCTTTAAAAATTTTTTAAAAATATGTATTTATTTTTGAAAGAGAGAGAGAGAGAGAATGAGCAGGGAAGAGGTAGAATGAGGTAGACTGAATCTGAATCAGGCTCCAGGCCTTGAGCTGTCGGCACAGAGCTTGACGTGGGACTCAAACCCAGAAACCTCAAGATCATGACCTGAGCTGAAGTCAGATGCTTAACTGACTGAGCCACCCAGGTGCCCCATGTCATAATAAATTCTGTTTCTTAATGCCCTGTTTTCTTTTCTCAAACAATAATTGAGCATCTAGTCTTTATAAAGCTCCACATTAGTACTGGAAATGCTAACATGAATAAGAACTATCCCTGCCCACAGAATTTTAAAGTCTCAGCGCAGCTATGATGTAAGGAATATTGTGAGATACTCCTTATCACAAAAAAGACAAATCAAAAGATGGTGTGAGGACATGGAGGATTTAGGTGTGAACAGTCAAGCGTAAAAGCCCTGTGGCAAGGGGATTTGAGACCTTGGGAAACTGCAAGTCCTGCAGGGTGAGGTACTTTGAACTAAGCTGCGTGGTGGGTCAGATGAGTTTGTCTGAGTGGTGAGCAGGGTCCAAAACCTCAAATGATGGGTCTCACACTGAGACTGAAGCCTGGAATAGAAAAGTGCGTTTAGTACTTAAAGATCATAGATAAAGCAGAGAAGAATCTTCACCTGGGGCAGGAATAGAAGAGGTACTATGTTCTGGTCCCTGTGCAGAAGAACACAGTGCACAAAATAGGCAATGTATTTGCACATGTCATATTAAAAGAGTGGCTGTGATACTCATAGGAGGTAGAATGCTCAGAAGTCACTGTGATGGCGATCTTTGCCCTGGGATGCGAGAGGCATAGCCCATCCACTAAATGAGCATTTTTTGAGAGAGAGAGAGAGAGAGAGAGAGAGAGAGAAGCAGGGCTCATACGAAGTGGGACTCATGTTTTACCCAAAGCAGTGCTCCTGTCAGCCGAAGCAGGGCTTATGCTCACCAGATGCAGGCTTGTGCTCACCAGATGCGGGGCTCATGTTTACCTGAAGTGGGGCCTGTGGTCACAAAGCAGGGCACGAGCTCACCTGATGGGGGACTCAAACTTATGAACCTTGAGATCATGACCTGAGCCAAAGTCACATGCTTAACTATTGAGCCACTCAGGTACCCTAAATGGGCATTTTAATTAGGTTATCTGGAATGTAATTTGGTAACCTCTAAGCTAGAATTATATTTGTGATTGGGGTGAAATAATTGCAAATACAAGTGTTTCGGATGAAGACCAGATGGAAGGGAGGGATGGAAACAGATGTTAATACAAATTCCAGAAGTTTTGAGCCCACAAATATTTGCCCACAACAACAATAAGTAACATATCCTCAAAAAAGTTATACAGCAAGCAACTTAGTTTAACTTGCTTAGACTCATAGTGGCTGATTTCTTATGCCGTGTCCTAGAGGTCTATGAATTCACTGAAATTTACTGGACTAAAAAAAATAAATTCCCACGATGCTCAGCATCCCTCCTCATCAGGGAAATACAAATCAAAACCACACTGAGATACCACCTCACGCCAGTCAGAGTGGCTAAAATGAGCAAATCAGAGAACTCTAGATGCTGGCGAGGATGTGGAGAAACGGGCATCCTCCTACACTGTTGGAGGGAATGTAAACTGGTACAGCCCCTCTGGAACACAGTGTGGAGGTTCTTCAGGAAACTAACAATAGAACTCCCCTATGACCCAGCAATAGCACTGCTAGGAATTTACCCAAGGGATACAGAAATGCTGAGGCATAGGAGCACATGGACCCCAATGTTCATAGCAGCACTCTCAGCAATAGCTAAAACATGGAAAGAGCCTAAGTGTCCATCAACGGACAAATGGATCCAGAAGATGTGGTTTATCTATACCATGGAATACTACATGGCAATGAGAAAGAATGAAATCTGGCCATGTGGAGCAACATGGATGGACCTTGAGGGTGTTATGCTGAGCGAAATAAGTCAGGCAGAGAAGGACAAATATCATATGTTTGCATGTATAGGAGGATTAGGAGGAACTTAACTGAGGAATAAGGGGGAGAAGAAGGGCGGAAATGGTGGGGGAAAGGGAGAGAGGCAAACCATGAGAGACTCTTGAATGCTGACAAAAACTGAGGACTGATGGATGTGGGGGGGAGGGGGGATGGGCATGGAGGAGGACACTTGTGGGGATGAGCACTGGGTGTTATGTGGAAACTAATTTGACAATAAACTATTTGTAAAAATAAATAAATAAATAAATAAATAAATTCCCGGAGGGGAAGGTGGTAGATCAAAATCTAATACATGCCAGACACTTCCTTAAGTTACATATACCCTACCATTCCTCCTTACAAGATATATGTAAGCCAAAAACAAGAGGACTGCTTATAAAACCAAGTTCACAGATGAAGGTTTACTTAACTGAAATTTTCCTAAGTTCACCTAGCTTGTAAGTGACAGGGCTGGGCCTAAGAGCCCTGATCTGGTTTCCTCTAGAACACATACTATTAGGCTTCTCCTTGCCTGAGGTGGACTTGTGTTTCTTCATTTCTCTGCTCCCTACTCTTCAATGTCTCCCAGAAAGTAAAAGGAAGCAAGCTGCAGCCAATGCATTAAATTCAGGTGGATTAATAAGGTGAAATGAGAATTAAACATCATGTGAGGACTATCTCTGGGCTGCATCTGCCTAAGTTGCGACGGCCCCCTAGCCACAGGGTTCTTTTAAAACTGACTCTGCCTCGGGGCGCCTGGGTGGCTCATTTGGTTAGGCATCCGACTTCCGTTCAGGTCATGATCTCACGGTTTGTGGGTTTGAGCCCCGTGTTGGGCTCTGTGCTGACAGCTAAATCAGAGCCTGGAGCCTGTTTCAGATTCTGTGTCTCCCTCTCTCTCTGACCCTCCCCTGCTCACGCTGTCTGTCTGTCTGTCTGTCTCTCTCTCTCTTTCTCTCAGAAATAAATAAAACATTAAAAAAAAAAAGCTGACTCTGCCTACTGCTAGTACAGGGGCCAGAACCATCACGTTCCCAGTTACATGATTCCTGCCCTGGGTTTTCTACATTGTGCCCTGGTGTCCAAGTCTAGATCCTGATCTGCTGTCCAGTTCTCCCGTGAATCCTTTCATAAGACTGCACTCTGCTCCCAGTGGGGGGAAAAACAGCCCAGAATAACGTTCCTTTTCCCTGACTTAGAGCATTCAGATTCACTGCAGACAATTCCTGTCTGTCCCATCCCTAACTATGGAACCCCTCTGCTAACAACAGCCCAGTGTATGTGGTCTTTTACTTTGGCAGTGACATTTAGATGTTTGCTCATCTGATCTGGGAGTTGCCAGCACACTCACAAAGTATTTTCCAAATCAGCTTCTGAGGTAGAATCTGATTTGGCACAGAATCTATGGATTCTTGAAAGATAGCTCTGAAATAAGAGAGGAGATTTTAGAAAGCAGATGAGAAATCTGGTAACTTATCCGAGACTGGCCACTGAATCCATACACTGATGAGTGAGCTTAACTAAGTCGTGAAGAACCAAAGCCTCCCTCCCTAAGCAGTAGATGAGGAAGGACAGGGGAAGTCACTGTGCAGCAACCATCAGCACAGGCTGAATTCTAACAGACCCTGTACTCCTTCCAAGAGTCTGTACGAGTATTCCACAATCGCCATAACAAATTACCACAAATTTAGCAGATTACAACAGCACACCTGTATTATCTCACAAGTCTGTGTGGGTGATAAATCCAAGTTGCTTCTGTTGAATTCTCTCTTCTGGGTTTCACAAGGCCCAAGTCAAACTTTCAGTTAACAGGCCTCTCATCATGAGTTCTGGGAAGAATGTCCTTCCAAGATCATTCAGGCTATTGGCACAATTCAGTTCTTTGTGGTAATAAGATTCAGGCCCTGTTTTCGTGCTGACTGTCAGCTGGAGCTGACATTGTTTCTCCAGGCTTCTCTCCAGTTCTTGCATCTGAGCCCACATATATTTTTTAAACTTTATTTTTAAAAACGTTATTTTTTTTTTTTTTATTTTAGAGAGGGAGAGCATGGAAGTAGGAGGGGTGGAGAAGGGCAAAAGGAGAGAGAAACTTAAGCAGGCTCCAAACTCAGCACAGAGCCTGACACGAGTCTCTATTTTTTTTAAATATTTTAATTAATTTATTTATTTCTAGGAGAGAGAGAGAGACAGCGTGAGCAGGGGAGGGTCAGAGAGAGAGGGAGATACAGACTCTGAAATAGGCTCCAGGCTCTGAGCTGTCAGCACAGAGCCCGACGCGGGGCTTGAACCCATGAACCGCGAGATCATGACCTAAGCGAAAGTCGGACGCTTAACCAACTAAGCCACCCAGGCGCCCCTGACACGAGTCTCTATGTCATGACCCTGGGATCATGACCTGAGGTGAAATCAAGAGTTGAATGCTCAACCAACTGAACCACGCAGGGGCGCCTGAGCCCATACATTTTGGATCAGCAATAA